CATACGTGCGTGCAAATTATAAAACTTATATTTATTCATAAATTAATCCGATATTACTTACTCGGCCAAAGAACTACGTCCGGTATTCGATCGAACGATCCATGTTTAAGGAGATAAATTTCTCGTAGCGTGTGTCCGTGTGCCCTAATCAATCGATCTATACCCTTTAACGAATATTCGATATTTAACTCTTGAATCGCCTCCAATACTTCCGAAGAAATGATCGGCTCTGGTAGATCTGTCGGCATCGATTGAGACACGTTCCTTTCGGTCGGGTCTATGCCAAACGTGTTTATCACCCATTGTGTGAAATACGGAAGTTGCTTGTTGCCAATCGGATACCTATAAATATTCCATTTATAACAATAATCAATATTAAAGTTACACTTTATTTTATAAGATATACCATAAGATTTCACTTGACAAGTAAATAGATGGAAAACGATATTATGAATATTACGTATTTGTATTTGTTTAGTCGACACATTTTCTAGACTGGGCGTAAGTGACCAGATAAGTTAGCCTAGTCTTACCCTTATCAATGGTTTAACTAAAAAAGATGAAATACTACAAAAATATCATTGTATATTATAATATTTCATACAATTAATTGTTTTAATTAATTTATGTTTGGGATGTCAATAAAGATAATTAAATATCTTAAATAAGTAAGTATATCTTTTATTCTATAAGATATACTGTAAGATTTCACTTGACAAGTAAATAGATTGAAATGAAACATTCCCTGTTGCACGATATTATGAATATTACGTTTGTATTTGTTTAGTCGACACATTTTCTAGACTGGGCGTAAGTGACCAGATAAGTTAGCCTAGTTTTATCCTTATCAATGATTTAACTAAAAAAGATGAGATACTATAAAAATATCATTGTATATTATAACATTTCATACAATCAATTGTTTTAATCAATTTATGTTTAGGATGTCAATAAAGATAATTAAATATCTTAAATAAAAAATCAATATGCTCATAAAGAGAAAAACTAATAAACTTTCGGTATCATCTAAGAAAACGATTTTATCAATTCATCGTATTACGTCACAATAATAATATTTGCCATAAAGGATCAAGGAATGTTTGAGATCGTAACACGTGAGTTTCTTTGGGCTCATTAGAATCAATTTGCTGAACAGAAAATAAATAAATGGAACTGCATATCTCGAGATCGAAGCAAATAAAGAAATCAGAATTTCTTGGATGCATGGTTCTTGACATTTACTTGGAATAATAAATTTTCAAATATTATCTTAATAAATGCCTACTTCATTTCAATCATTCTTTATCCGCTACTACTTTGGTATATATTTATTTTTTCCATGCCTCGAAATCTAAGAAATATTGTTAAAAAGGGTTCGATCATTCGAGTTTTGAAAATTTATATAAAAAAAAAAATGATTTATATAAAAAAAATTTATATAAAATTTATATAAAAAAAATTTATATAAAAAAAATGATTTATCTGAATTTCGTTTAATTTGTAGCACATATTGAAATTTGTCAATATAAAAGTTAAAAAGTTTCAGTGTATTATTTGTCACTGATTATTGTTAGTAATTAATATTTATACCAAACAATTTTAATTTTAGTTTAGATTATTGTTAGTAATTAATATTTAATTTTAGTTTAATTTTAGTTTAGATTATTGTTAGTAATTAATATTTAATTTCAGTTTAATTTTAGTTTAGATTATTGTTAGTAATTAATATTTAAACCAAACAATTTTAATTTTAGTTTAGATTATTGTTAGTAATTAATATTTAATTTCAGTTTAATTTTAGTTTAGATTATTGTTAGTAATTAATATTTAATTTTAGTTTAATTTTAGTTTAGATTATTGTTAGTAATTAATATTTAATTTCAGTTTAATTTTAGTTTAGATTATTGTTAGTAATTGATATTTAAAACCAAACAACTTTAATTTTAGTTTAGTAATTGACCGCGATTATGTTAAGCGGTTTACCTCCTTCAAATAATCGCCTTATATCATAGATTAAGTTAAACAAATTAAACGTAAAAAGATTGTAAATTAAATGATATACGTGAAAACATCATTATATTATAGCAATTATAGCATATTTAGTAGTAAAAGTAGCTTTCTGTTAAAAATGATCTGGTTTCTTTTTTTTTTTTTTTAAGTCAATCAATTTTATGAATAAAATAAAAATGAATTATAAAAAGTGCATGCTTTAAACGATTATATTTTCCATATATCTTTGTTCTTTCCTTTTCAACCTTAAATGAACGTTTAAATGAATCGAATAATAATATCACTTATACGAATTTCATCGTTGAATACAATTGGAAAATATAAAATTTAACTCCATAATAAAATCGAGGTCATTTGCAAACTATGTAACAATTTTTAAAATTGTTTGCGACAGAATTTCGTTGAAATATCAATTATCTACATGAGAATTAAATAGAAAAGTGTGTTTAAGCATATGAAAGTACTTAATCCGTTTATATTTACGTTGAAATTCTAATTTTCTGTTCCTATCTAACGATATCAAGTAACTTAATCAGCTTATATGTGATAAGCGTAACTATTAGTTCATGTAGGCCTAATTGTTTCTAATTATGGAATAGCATAATCTTCTATAGCAACAAAATTACAGGCACTTTCTTTACGTACAAATAAAATAAGTTATCGTAAAAAAGAATAGCAGAAAGAAGATTGGAAGTTAATTGAAAAGAAACGCGTAACTAATGAAAAAGTATACAGTAAGAAGATATTATCATTCCCTTTTGATAATGAAAGAAAGAATTGTTGCGCAATGAAATTAGAAAGAATTAAAATAAATTGACGAATTAAATAACAGATAAATATATATAAATAAATATATTTATTTATTACGTTAACGAGTTAAAATATATGCAAATAATTTTTTTTTATGCAACTATGTGTAGAGCCAGTATATTCTTACATAAATATTTATTGTCTCCTAGAATATTAATAAAAAACAGTAAAGATTTAAATACTAATAAAAAAAACTTACTTGTCGCCAGTGAACTCGATGATATACTTTTGATTTATACGAAATTCCGAGTCTTTATATCCCCAACCATTCCACTTGAGTACTTTTTGCCTTTAAAAACCCAAGAAGATATGATTACTTAACACATATCGTTGCCATTTGAATTTTTATCTTGAAAAAGATAAAACAGAGAGTGGAAAGGCGTGTTTGTACACCCTTGGCGCGCGCGTTTCTCGCACCACGTGACTGATCCAGCAACCAATCGGTAGAAATAGCATTAGCTCCTCAGACAGTAAACACCCGGTAAATAAATCAAAATTCTTATTGAAAAAAAATTTCAAGTAATAGCAAAAAAACGATAAAAAGAAACGAATCGTTACAATGTTCTCGTCGTTCGTCACACGAACGAATCGCAATATTCGCAAGAGTGATCGCGATTGTCACAAAATGGAAAAAAAATGTTATCGATCGATTTCTTTTCTCTTTCACGCTCAAATAGCGCAAGGGGTGCTTTAGATTCGTAACATCTGCCGATGAGTCAGCTGGTAGTTCGGGTCCGAGGCGTGGCTGTAAGTAATTTAACACGAATCACGCTCGCGACACTTTATCGCGATACCGTCGCTGAGTATCCACATCGAAGTTTCTACGACATAAACCAGAAATTGCCGGTGCAACACTGACCTTTCCTTCGGTACGACACTCTGGAAACGCATCGGTCCATTCAAATTCTCCGGATCCTCGTTCGTGTCGTTTTTCGCATTAGTCGACATGTCTTTATTGACTGCACCGCGAAGGGCCTAACCTTTCGATCCGCAGAACACGATCAGCAAAGAGTAGATGCTTGAGCGCGCGCTCTTCGCGGCACTGTGTTGACTATTGACACGCGCACCGGCAAACCAAATTTAAATCAATAGAGCCCCCGCCCTGTGACTACCCGCCTACCGACGGATCTCCTTGTGAAAGGAACCAATCACTTACACGCGATACATTCTTGTCGTAAATAACTAACGCTTTCCACCTACTAGCGGTAAAGCTAACGCAGCACGCTCACGGGTGCTTCTTCACACATGTTCTCTCCGATGCTGCTAAGTTTTACTAGATTGAGGGATTCCTTTCATGAAAAGGATTTCTTACGCATGCGCAATTAGACATTTTGTACGAGAGTTTCGCCGAAGCCGATCCTATGTTTGCTCGAGTATTTGTACGCAATCAACACGATTGCATACGAGATGCGATACGAAATGATACGATGGTATTTAAAGCATTTTAAGATGATTACACACTTCAGAACCATTTACGAATCTTATTTCAACACTGTAGAGAATTGTTCATACAATTAAATTATAACCTGAATAATAGTGTTATGCAGCGTTAACCGGCACTTGTCAGTTGATCAACTTCGTAGTAATACCTATATTTATCTTAACAGATTACGCTTCAATAACGTATCAAATGAATGAAAACAATAGTTTCACTCTATCATTATCTTAAATACCATTGATAAATATAGAAAAATTTTAAATACTAACTTCCATTTTGCGTATAATACATTTTTCTTTGCTGAGAATAAAAATTCAAGCAATCTTTTTTAATTTTTATTATGAGAATATTCATAAAATAAAATATAAATTATCTTTTTTAAACCATCACTAATTTAGAGACAATTTTTTTCTTTTCACTACACGGTATGTCATATACTTGCAATGTACGTTTTATTTTTCAAAATTTTAATATTTCTGACATTTTTATGAACTGAGTAACTAATGCATACGATAATGCTTTAAAAACCATTACTTTATACACATTTACACATATTTTTTAGTACGTTTCTCCTACGTGCATTACGGAGTCACGAGACTGTTTACATCTACAAATGTTCACTTGATAATTTTTTCGAATAAAACGTTGAATAACAGAATTGGGGAAAACCTGCTCTTTTAATATATACTACCATAATTACTATTTATAGTAATTATTTGTAGTATTTTTTATCCTTTGGAAAAACTAAAGTATTGTACAACATAACTTACATAACCTGTAAATAATCTATATTCACGTACACATGGCGCCACATACAAAAATGCAGCCAAAGTTACTCAATGTAAATAGAACACCTAGTCAACCGAAAAAACGCAAGAAGATTACTCTTGTATTTGATGAAAACAAGAGACGGTAATTATATCAATTTCAATTATGGATTAAATAACTCACAAATCATATATACATTTTATGCTTTAAATTTAACAGAGAATTTCTAAAGGGATTTCGAAAAAGAAAATTACAAAGAAAACAAAAAGCTAAGGAACAACTACAACAACAATTAAAAGAAGAACGGAAAAGAATTAAACAAGAGGAAAGTATTTATATATGTATAATATAAATTTTACTATAATGCAATAATAAAATATTACTTTTTACAGACGCGAGAACGTTATAAAAAGTTGCTTTCAAATCGCGATATTCCTGAAATTCAACAGTTATTATCTCAACAAGAATATGAAACAGAAGGGCATACTGTCAGTATTTTGGAATTAAATACTGCAGATCTGGCAGAAAAGAATGCTTTAATTGGTGAAAATAAAGACATTAATGAAGTGAAAAGTGATGAAGAAGAAGAAAGTAATGGGGATTCCAAAAATGATGAAGAAATCGTAGGAATGCCTTTAAATGAAAAGAAACAGCCTAGAAATTCAAAAGAAAATTCAAAAGAGAAGCAAATTGACAGTAAAAAAGATTTTAAGAAAGCAATAAAGAGAGCTGCACTGAAACAAGTGAAAAAGAGTAAAGCATTCCAACAGAAACAAAAAATGGAACGTCAAAAGAATAAAAAAGAAAGTATAAGAAAACGTAAGAGAGTTGAAAAAGCTAAGAAACATAGTAGGAAATTAAAAAAAAAGTTAGATCATTAAATCATTTTAAAGTTTCTTTCTTAAATATTCTAAATAAATACAGTATATAATAAATATTTTTATAATATTATGTCTTTTTTTTCGTACCACCCTTTGTACTTGATGGACATATATTTTTATTTAAGCATTCATCACATTTGGGAAATCTTGGTAAACAGATTTCTTGTCCAAATCCAACGAGTAAATAGTTTACCTGGCTCCATAGATCTTTTGGAAGCCATTCTTCCATTGCAATTCTTGTGTCTTCTGGTGTTTTAGTTAGCTTTTTCACCCATCCCAATCTATTACAAATACGATGTACATGTGTATCCACTCCAATGCCAGAAACTTCACCCCACGCTATCTGCATGCATATATGTCCCATTTTTGGCCCCACTCCTGATAATTGACATAATTCTTCCAAGGTTCTAGGAATATCACCATCATATTTCTCAATTAAAATTTTAGACGTTTTCTTAATATATTCTACTTTCCTCTGAAAAGTAAAAATTTTACTCTAATTTGACGTATTGTCAAGAACAAAAAAAAAAAAACCTTTTTTAATAATTTTACGTTATCTTAATATATCTTATATTAATTACTGGAACATAATTTATACCTTCCAAAATCCAACTGGATATATGAGCTTTCCAAGAGTATCATCAGGTGTACCTACTATTAGTTCTGGAGTACAACCATAAGTAATTAATCTTTGCATAGCAGCATGAGTAACTTGGTCCTTAGTCTGACTACTGAGCATCAATGCAATCAATGATTGATACCTAGCAACTTTGGCAGTGGCTTTTGGATCGGTACATTTGTGACAACCCATTTCATCTACAGGTGCTGTTTTGTGTTTTCTCATTTCCTTAACATTTTCTAAAACGGTTTCCCAATTCGGTGGCATCCATTTGTTTTCTTTGTTTATTTCTATCTTCGCAGTCCCATCTTGTAGATCTACATCTTGAGTGTCCTTATTTTTTGAATCAATTGTATCCTTCATTTCTTCACATTTTACTTTCATCGATTTACGCTGTTTTTTTATGATTCCATGTTCTAAATCTTCAACTTTAATTTTCGTACTTTCAGAGTTTTGTTGATTCTTTGTTTCATCATACTCTATTTTTATGGATGCACGCTTTTTTTTTGCAACTTTTTTTGGCGAGGTATCTTTATCACTGAAATACTTTGATGTTGTAGAAATATCTTTAATGTCAGTCTTATTTTCTGATCGTAAGGATCTTGGTGTTGTAAGGCCATCAAACTTTAATGTTTTATTCATCTTATAAAGATAATTTTGTAATAACGTATATGTCAATACCCTCCTTGATATAAAGAGAATGTCATGTCGACAACCGACAATGTAATTCGAAGATAACATAACCTTTCGCGTTATGTATAATTTGAACTAATAATTTAAACTTCTGCGCATGCGTAACAATACAAAATTAGCAATCTATGTACAAGCATGAATACGCATATAAGTAAATATACATATATCGTTAAGCAATTATGTATATTAACTAACTAGATTAAATCACATACTTTAATAAAATCGTATATATATGATAAATATCGTATAATATATGAAAATAATATGTTGTAAATTGAAGTCAATATTTTATTTTCAAAAAATCGTACATGCCAAAAAAAAATGGAACAATAAAGGTCTAATAAGACTATACATAATTTTTCAATTATTTATTTTCCTTATTTGTATAAGAATACTTACATAAATGAATGAATAAATCATTAACTGATAGTATGATTTTCACATAAATCATTAAAATAATATTGTTAATGCATATTCATTCTATGATAACATTGAATCCAGATTCACGCTTATTCAATTTCTTTGTTTTAAATATTCACATTCGTAAAGTGTTATTAACAAGTAAAATAAGTCAACAATTTTCAAATGAAACTTATCTATAAAGTGCATAAAAGATGCTGATGACATTGTTTATCAATAATTATACTTTTAATGTATAATAAAATTGTTCTTTTTATTGTAAATGCAATTTCAACGTCACGTAAAATAATATATATAAATAAAGATCATTTAAAATTTGTAGCTGATAATAAGAACGGCTTAACCACAGATTACCTTATATTTTATACTTTATACAATATATGAATAATATTACCCAGTCTCAATATATATAAAATCAGTATAACAGGTCCAAAATTTCATCAAAGTATTAAAATACTTATATTATAAAAATGTATTATATATGCAATTAGTATATAATAATTAAGTTGTATGTAATTAGAAGTATTAACTATAAAGAACATAAGTACAAAAATGATAAAGTAATATAACAAAAATTGTGCAGTGTATCGCCTTCACTACTTCATATCACAAACATTCCAATTTAATTTGAAGAGGCGAGATTGCCTTCTATTATAATTTATGTACTTTATTCTAATATATACACATCCCTTTATTTTGCTAATACCACCATATGTTAAAGCTCATTTTTCTTCATATAAGATGAGCAAATAGTTTGTTACAAATATTGTCAGTGACATTTAATGCTGCCATTATATTAAACTGGGCAGAATAATACAAAATATCATTTATTTATACATGCATTCGTAACTGGTCATTTCAGACCAATAATGTGCTAATATAAATTACTATCATATCAAGACAACCAATGTAGTTACTACTATTAAACATGCTATTTAAATAATAATGTGAATAATAATGTTTTGAAAAATATCTTATATCATAAACGAATTCTTCTAAAATTTATTATCTGTAATATATCTGGATTCAATGCTTATTTAACAAATTACCAATGATAATGGACGGAGTGGAGGAATGCATACATATAAACTAAAAAATAAAATTTAAGGAAAATAAAATAAAACGATATCTTACGCTACTAACTTGTGCCGATAATTTACAGAAATAAAACTGTTTACATTTCAAAATCAGGCAAAAGGAATTCTAATAAAATATTTAAAAAGAATAGTTCTTCTATTTGTATAAAATCACATAATTCACGAAAATGGTAAAAATCGCGATTCAGGTTTGTTCACGTAAAATTAAAAGAATGTTCACATCGTGTGTTCTTACTACACATCGACGCAATTAACCTTTCTGATTAGCAATGATATTAGGGCCAATGGAGACTACCGTGGGAATTGTAGAATCCTGCATTAAGGTACGGGTTTCCTCTTCTTGATCAGAAAGTGGTATTGCTGGAGTGTCATGAGGACTTGTCTGTTCCAACTTCATTGTTAATTGATTCGGCAGCTCCGTTAGTACAGGTCCGTACTGCGAAGTGGAACCCACCAGGAAGTCAGTTGATGGATTCAAACCGCCCAACATCTTTCCTCATAGCAACGCATATATAAGATAAAGGAACGAACATACGAGCCAAAACACACATGGATGGCTTCCGGTAAATAAAATAAAACTCAAAATATAAATCTACAAAAAAAATTATGCCTACCTGACCACTGCTTAAGACCATTCCACCTCTTGTAGATTTAGCGCGATGGAAAAAATGAAGCCAAGCCCAAATTAAGCCCAACACTAGCCCTGTTAATATCAGGAAAATACCTGGTGGCATGGAATGTTTTGTAGTATATTTAGTATTTTCTTCATCGCTTTGCGACATAGTTGGATCCTCGTCTACCTTTATGTGCACAATTATTTTTGAATTTAATGTCATGTATTATATAATGCATATAACTAAAAAATTAACTGATAAAATAATTTAATTTAGAAGCATGAAAATTTTATAAACTTTCAAGTTTAAATATATTCTGCATAGATATAATAGGTACAATAGGCATAATAACTAACGATACTTTGACAGAAAATAAAAATTACTGTCATCCATTTAATACCAAATGAACAAGACACTAATTAAAGTAAGGTTATATATACATGCATTTTTATATTTTGTGTACGGAAAGTGATTTTGCACGGCCGTGATTTTGTTTGAATACACGTCATGCTGTTGTCATCTTTAAACGATTAAAATATTCATACATAAAGTATCATAGACTGAAATAAAAGCTACCAAATACCTTTTGTGTACTATTTATTTTAGTTTCTCGTGATGCATCAGTGGTTATCATTGTTATACCAGCAATGATAAACGATAAAACAGCTGAGACTAATATCCATTCAAGCCAATTTCTAGAGCTGAGTTTATGTCTTGATATGATTCTCCAGAAACAACCTCTTAAATTGTTACTACCTCCAGTACCATCACCTCCGCTATCGTATGTGTAACCTACTGTCGTAGGTTGATAAACAGCACCACTATCTGGCATATTTTCTCGCGAAATATATACAATTTTCACAATTTCTTCGGTCTACAGACGGGCACTTAGTACAAAATTTTAATTAAAACTTCTGACAGAAGACAGACAAAAAAAATGGTATTGCCCAATACAACGCACAAACTGGTTGTCAACGTATCAGCTTTTGACTAATGTCTGTAATTACTTGTGAACTTTTATATCGTGTAGCGTAATGGTAATTTTTCACAGTTTTCTTGATATATACAGATATATACATTCGCAATGCAGATACAATGTGCAAGTATAATATACAGATAACCAGACGTCATATATCAAAAACCCACTGCCTACGCCATAGCTATCACAGATTAGAGTTGTATAACTCCAGAAGTTATTTCTTCAAAGTGATTATTACAGCCGTATGGTGGCATTATAATCAGAGATGCGTAATTTGCGATAATGAAATATTTGGTAATTATAGATTAATTTTAATCAATATATAATAAGTAAATTTGTTAACATATTATATATAGTTTCGAAATTGAGTTTGAAGTTTTAATAAAATAAAATTGACAATTTTTATAATAAACGAACTAACTTTGATAATGCACAATACTTCTATTGAACGAAATTTTTATTAATAATTAATGAAATATATATAATAATCATAATTAAATAGAAAAATGTTAAATGTCGTAAGTTTAAGAAAATATAAATTTTGAATATCGTTAAACATGGTTGTATAAATCTACACATAATATGTGAATCTATATTTTCATTTTTACTATGATATTTTTACCTCTTCATCATATCATATAAATAAAATATGAAAATTTATGAATATTTAATTGGTTTTTATGTTTTATGTTTTCTTGAATTTAGTTTAATTTAATTAAAAATATTAATATTAATTATACGATATACTGAAGAGAAAAAATAAAATGTATTGTATTATATTATATTTAAATTTAAATGTAATTGTCTAAATTATAAAATTGTTATGTTTTACGTATAAACTCAGTTATAAAATTTTCTATAAAATTAATTGACTAGATAAGTAACTGACACATATACGTATATATGTACAAGAAAAGTGTTCAATAATATATAAATATTAAAAGATATTGTAAATTACATATATATAGTTTAGTAATATTTAGGAAATTTAATTATATATATACATTGAGTGTACCATAGTGTATTATCTATAGCTTAATGAGAGGCCGCTATATTTACGTGTATCAGCTGTGGAATGACAGGTGAGATAAAAAATGGCTGAAAATGGGTTGGGATCAGATGCTGGATCTCAAGAATACCTCGCAACCGAGGTCATTAATTTAGATATCGAAGAGGTAATTAATTATATTCATTGTAAAAATGTTCAGATCCAATAGAAGATTTTTATTTTTCAGGTTATGTTCTCATAACTTATTTACTCTATTACTATTTTATTATGTTTATAAACATAATATAACTCGCAAGATGCAATTATTTTATTAGTTTTTATTTGATTGATAGTGAAATCATATTACATACTCTTTTTTTATTTTTATCTAAATTCTCAATATATTTCAATTTAGCAAATTTAATTATATTACTACTTAAATTATCATACCCTGCAGATAAGATTGCTAAGATTACAATTACATATATTTCATAATTTTAGTTGGATAACACAGAATATGCTATACCAGCCATTGAAGAATTACCATCCTTGGAAAGTATATTAACAGAACCTGACTGTACATCATTATCTGGGACAGATGATGACTTTGGTTTAACACCAGGTGAAAAATTAGGAAGTAGTGAAACAACAAGTGTTGGAAGTCATTTATCTTTAAATTCTTTAAACAAATCAAATAAAGCTTCACAACCAACATCTTCTGGTGCTATTTTGAGGCATGTTATATTAAAAGGAATATCATCACAAATTGTATCAGCTAGTGTAAGGCTAAATATTTCCTTTTTAAAAGAATTTATAATTATAGCTTTGAGTATATTAATTCTTTAATTCTTTTGTTATATAGGAAAAGGTCAATGCTGGTTTAGCAAGTGCAGTTGCTGCCGGAGGAAATATGTTAGTTGTTGGAACTAGTCATGGTCTGGTATTAGGTTTTGATTCTTCACAGACATTAAGATGGTGCGATCAGGAAACAAGACACCAGGGATCTGTGTCTGCATTATGTTTTAATTATGATGGAAGCAGAATATTAGCTGGATTTGCTAGAGGACATATATTAATGTTAGATAGCTCTAATGGAAAAGTATTAAGGACACTTACTGATGTCCATCCTCTTGATACAGCTGTATTACACGTAAAAGTAAGAATAACTTATATTATTCAGTATTTGATATATAATTATCATAATATTAACTATTTATTAATAAAAAAAAAATCTATCTCTACATAGTTCACAGATTCACCAAAGGTAGCATTATGTAGTGACAGTGGTGGATCCGTTTTTGAATTAAATTTTACAAGAGTTATGGGTGTGAGAGGCTGTGATAGCAGGTGTTTATTTAGTGGATCTAGAGGTGAAGTGTGTACATTAGAACCCTTGTTATTGAATCATCTGCCGTCACATGCTCTGAAAAATTATACTTTAGTGGCAATGGCAACATTATCAAAGGTTTTTTTTGTCTGTTATTAAAGAATTCAAAAATTTGTAACATATGTCCATATAATTTTATATTCTTCGAACTTTTTAGGTAATAGTAGTTTGCATAAGACCACGAATGCGTGTTGTATTAACTCATCCTTTATCTGGTGCACCTATAGCACCACCACAATTATCTTGGCAGCTTGTTGTCATACAAGCAGCAGACGCTTCTCGTGTAATTGATCCTGTTTTGGCTCTTGCAAGAGATGATGTGGTTCATTTTTATCAAGTATTAAGTTTATATAACATAATTTTATATATTAAGCAGCAAGACTGTTAATAGATGACAAAATACATTGATAAAATTTTTTATCTAGGTATGTACTGAAGCTGGTTCAAGAGTAAAATTATCTCCTTTGAGAAGAATGACTCTCCCATATACAATAAGTAACTTACGATGGCTAAATCCAAGATCATTAGCAGTATTAGATACTCAAGAAAGATTACATTTATTAGATGTAAGAGCACAGGATAACTTGGAAACTTTAGATATGAGTCGCGTTGGTATTTCCTATGCATCTAGCCATTTTAAAGGTCTGTCCACTGGTGGAAATGTTTCAAAGGTATTAATCAATTAAAGCATACCAATTAATTATTAAATTTAAATTATCACATTATTTTGATATGTAAAATTATATAGGCAATGGCGTTGGCTGGTGAAAGAGCATGTTACAATACTGTGGTAACGTTTGGTACTCAACTTTTGCTTCTAGGTACCAAAAGCTTACATGTTGTTTGTATACGAACATGGACAGAGAGGTTGCGACACTTAACAATGCAGGTTTGTATAATTAAAATTATACAACTTTTTACTTCATTACATTTTTATTATTTCAGAAAAGATATCCAGAAGCATTAGCTTTAGGACTTTCTTTTTATCAAGATAAAGGAAAAGCGGTTGTTGGTCTTCGTGGTTCCAAACAACGTCGTAAACAAATAGCTCGCGATAAAGTATGTCAAGTTTTGATTCAATATATGGAAGAATTGAATCATTGTGTTGCAGACGAAAATTCAGAATTTGAGATAGTCACAACTTGTGTAGATTATTGTATACAACTAGAAAATACAGATTTATTATTTGGCAAATTATGGGACTTAGTTTCGGAGTCTGAGGGATTAAAAGCGAGTTATTTACATGCCCTCGAAAGTCCTTTGTTGGACGGGAGTTTACGACCGCGATTACCACCATTAATTGCTCAACAGTTAGTTACTCTTTACGACCAAGAAGACAAAGTAGATTCGCTTCAAGCAATTATAGTGTTATTAGATGTTGATTGTTTAGATATTCATCAAGTAAGTAAAAATATTTACATTCTATAAACAAGTTCAAGTTTTAGACTTGATTTTCATAGATTACATTTTTAATTTAACTTATGAAAATCAAGTTTAAAAGGATTTATTTGTATTTAAAAATATCACAGGTAACGACACTTTGTCGGCAACGAGGTCTCTGGGAAGCTTTAATACATCTTCAAACCACGGCATTAGGTGACTTTACTGCTTCAATCCATCAATTAGTACCGATATTACAAAGTATGTTAACGAATTCGAAGGATTCACTAACTCGAGATAGTATACAACTTGGCAATGCACTTTTGGTCTATGCTAGTTGCTGTCTTGCCGGTCGTGGTTTTCCCAGAGATGAACTTCCAGAGGGTATGTCTCAAAGAGCAAAAACAGATGTATTAAGAGCATTGCTTTCACAGCATTCGAGTTTGGCTAATGATGCAGAAAGGCAATATCCATATCTAAGAACTTTGCTACAGTTTGACGCAAAAGGGTTTCTCGACGTGATAGCAATTGCCTTCCAGGAGCCAGAATTCACGTCTGAGATGGGTCTTAGACAACGGCAAAGACTTATAGATATATTATTAAATATCGTTATGCCCAGCACGCCATTAAGCCCGAGAAATCCTGATTATATCACTGACGAACAAAGAAATTTAGTTCTTATATTTATAGCTAACGAAGTTGCAGAAAATACTGTTAATTTAGAACCTAGTATGTTAAATAAAATGATAGAAATATTATGTACTGATTCAAATGTGGGATCATCACACGAGCTTAAGACTGATAAAGAAAATGCAATATTGGGATTACTGCGCTCAAAAAAATTATGCAATATATCGGATAATACTTTACTTACTTTGGCAGAAAGAGCTAATTTGTAAGTATATGCATATATAAGATGTAAAATAGTGGACATATGTATCATTATTTAATTTTAATTATGTATCATATTTTTATGAATATATTTATAATAAAAATATACTTTTCAATATTATATTTCAAGAAATTATATAGCATTATTTATACTAATAGCATCATACATAGTAACTTGTATCGCAGCATGTAATGTTACAGTATGCGTGTTGCGGAATTGCTATACAGCGCCAGAGAAGATTGGATCGCTGTTTGTAAATGTATGATATTGCATCCATCTAGACATCATGATATTTGGGTCTGGTTGAAACATCTTTCTCCAAATTCATTACAATTAGTCGTAATGGCAAATGCCGAAGCTTTAGTGGGCATCAATGCAAATCAATTTGCTATACTGATAGCAACACATTTGCAAACTAAAGTTTCTGAAATTTTAAAAATGCTAGAAAATATTTCAACCTTACAATATACTTTACTAGAAGCTTTATATCAAATAGTACAATACAAAGAAGAAGATATCACGTTAGAACTTACGACTGAAATGTTAGAAAAATATTTGGAATTAATGTGTGAATTACAACCAGACCATGTTAGTAAAATCCTATATTATATCAGGATATTGAAAAGTGCCACTTATTAATTTTCGGATAATCTTTGAAATTTAGGTTGTTGAACATATTCAAGGATTTCATGGTTGTAGACTGAATCAAGCATTGCAAATAGTTCAAAAAGCGAATCACAAAGATGCTGAAGCAGTAATGTTAGAAAAGTTAGGAAATTATCAAGATGCGTTTGACATTCTTTTGAAAGAATTTCAAAATAATTTGGAATTGGTATATTGTATGAGAATATTATAGCAATGTTAATCATTACTTTCTACTTCAACAATATTTATTTTTAGTATTGTCGGAACAAAGTATCAGAAAATGCATCTATTCACAGTGCGATACAATTAGCAGGAATGTGCAGACGATCTGCGGGAAATTTAGATTGGATGCCACTTGTGGAAACTATACTTCAAACACATTCAAATAGTAATGATGAAAAAGGTATATTATATGTGATGTAACATGACAAATTACATATAATATCTCTTAATTAAACAAAATTACAGTTGAAAAATTAAGCGGGAAATTATTAAGGATTGCGTTAGAATTTCTTAGTGGAACAACAGCACTGTCGACCGTATTAGAGCAAATATTAAAACACCCATTGGCAACAAGTGGAACTATAGGTGATATAAGACAATTATTATCTGGAGTACTTACACATTCCCGATACGAACAAACTTTAGTTGAAACTACTGCTCGTTTGGTCAGCTTGGAGCTTCACAAGGCACTAAAAAAATCACTTAGGTATAAGTAATAATCACAACTAATTTTAACAAACCTATTAATTATTTAATACTAACATTTTTATTTCTCAGGGATGCGGGGAGAGCTTGTGCGAGTGTATCAGTGATTTGCCCAATATGTAGACATTTGTTATCACAATGCACGGAATATATTGTAGTTTTCAGTTGTGGGCATAGTTTTCATTCAGAATGTTTAGGAGAACCTAAATCTTGTTATAAATGTTTAAAGTCTAAGGGATGGGCACCTATTGTTACTAATATCACACATACTACTAAATCATTCCATGTAAGTAATATTTTGATATTTGAAATATATATATTAAGATATCATTGATAGATCTACATTAAAATCTAAATTCATTGTTTTGTAGGAACATAAACAAATTTTACCACCGGAATTTATGCGTAATAAAGATCTTTCTTTAAGACTTGCACCACCTACTTCCTTACCGGATCTTGAGGGTATTTTTTAATCTAGTCTTTGAATATAAAAATTTATTATTACACTCACCAGTGTATAACAGTCTACTAGTAGAAACGACTGTTGTGTGTTATACATGTACATTATATTGGATCTCTTAGTTTTCATTCCATGAACATTATATTGTTCTGTTATTATATTTCATATAAAAAATTAAATTATAATTGTTTATATCAAAGCTTCCTTTTACATATATAAAAATATGATGCCATTCATATTTTTCATTATTTCTTGAACTCCGGTATTTAAATCATTTTTCTGCTTGGCAGAATTCATATATTGTATGTATGTTTGTATATTGTAAATTAATATAGCTATATTGTGTATAGTATTAATAAGGTCTTGTATACTTTTATCGATGTAAATTCCATTTGCCCAATGTGCAGCACGTTGCCAAATATCAATCATTAAGTAAATAAAGATAATAATTAATTAAATAAATTCATTATTTGCTGTTAATAATTATATGCATTATATTAGATACAGCATTTATTTTAAAAACTTTAAATAATATTTTAAATTTAAGAGCATGTAAGTTACATAGTATAAATACATATGTTTCATGTTGAATGATATGGATAAATTGTTTTACGTTTAATATTCTTGATAATAAAAACTGGTTTTTTGGGCATATTTTCTATTAAAATATAATTGGGATCGATAGATTCATAACCGAGTAAATCACCGGTTAATAATTTCGCAACTAACGAAAAGATACTTAAATCAGGTACAAATGAATTTTTTGTAGGTAGCACCTCAACGTTCGTAACATATTTGTCAATCGCAGATTCTAATTTTATGAGATGAGGCGTAATATTTGATATGGATAAGTATTGTTGCAACTGCAATTTAAAAAAATAATTCATATTAAATATTAATATTTATATTAACAAAATATTAAGCAAGTTTTTACCTTGCTATCACATTTTCCTAAGCTGCTTATAAGTTCTTCACTTTCAGTAATTAGTTTGTATCCTTTTAATATATATTCTTGATCATAAGTAGATTCATAAAATTGTAATGATATTTTGAATACAATAATTTCCTTTTTTATTCTATCTAGAACTATTGATAATGGTACTCCGTGTAATGTTCGACTAGCCATTCGTATTTTAGAATATTTTTCGTAAATCTATATATAGTATAGTAATGAAATATTTAATTTTATAATAATAATTAAAATTAAATGAACATAAAAAGTGAAGAAGTTTAAGAAATCAAAAAAGTATGTTTCAAGGGTATAAATAAATATTACCTGACGATTGATAGAAGTCCATGAACTTGCAATTTGATCAGCAAATTGTTTTATTTCATTTTCTGTTGACTGATGCGTTTCAGCCAATTTCCATAAAGAATCAAGTTTGTCCGTAAGACTACGTGATATATTATGGAACCATGTGAGTTTAACATCCAATTCATAATTGATTTTTAAATTATAATGATTTTCTATTTTTAAAATCGCTACCTAAATAAATGTCAATTGTTTTGTGTTGCTCATCTTTATTTACATTTTTTAAATTAGTTCCTCAAGTAAAGAGTAATGCACTTTTCCATTTTTTTTTTTTTTTAAATATTCACTAATTAAAATTGTTAATTTTTTTCATCATTCAACTCTTTCATGCTGAGCAATTAAAAAGTACATCTTTGAAATCAACATACTACATGCGTGAATTTTTAAATATACCTCATACCAGTTAGCAATTTAAATAAAAATGAATGATAATTAATATGTATATTTCAAGCATGAAAGGGTTAAATTATTTACTCACATTTCTTTCGAGAGTTCTTATGAGCTCATTGAATGAAGGATTTTCCTTTTTCATCAAAAACTCCATTTCAAAACGATGGAGTAAATGAAGAAATATAAAGAATTACCTTCTTACAAATTATAAGAATATACGATAAAAATAAAAATAGATTACGTGCGTCTACAGATTACAGTATCTTCGCTTAAAAATGCGATAGTCTTTTCCTTTTCTGTACGATATAAATGAATTGGTTTCTATGGATTTATCGTTTCTTTCACTCTGTTTATATCGATAGTTCGAATATTGTACAAACGACAATTTCCGTTTCATTCGTGATACTTAATATATAAATTCAATCTGGCGTTTGCTGTTGTTCACCATTGTACGGAGTGATATCACATACGTTTACAATATCAGATGTATCGATTTTACAGAACTCTGAATCTTATTCTTCAAATGATACATGAATTTGTACAATGCAAAAACCATTATTATATTTCGACGCAATATCATACTTAACTTAAGCCTATATTACGGTAATTATATTCGCCGTAATATTAAGCTAATATGATTATTGAATTGCGACTAATCTTTTGCATAAAGATACGAGTTTAGCATATATATTCAAGTCATGTATCTTCTGAAAAATATAGAGTACTATAAAATGTATAATAATCACCAGATCTTAGTATATGGTTGTTTCTTTTTTTCTTTTGGCTAGTATTTAATTTGTAGAATAATATAACGAGGTATTATATATAACGAGCAGGCGAAAAGCCAGCTGTATTTTTTTTTTAATCATTGGCTTAACAAATTATCTATGGCTTTGCAATTTTTAATGCTCTATGAAAAGTCCATAATATTAAAATTCTACATTTATATAATTTACAATTTTTTTTCCTTTTTTTAAACTAATATTTCAATAAGTTGATACTATTATCCATTACCATGAAATACTCTTCATTCGATTATTCACAAGTTCCACAATCGCTCTGGAATAATATGTGTATTATGTTAAAAAATGAAAATTGAAGTCGCGCATTTAGAGAAATCATTTACTTACTAATTAATCAATGATTAATTAATTATTACGAATATACTTTTCTTCAGTAAGCAATGACGAAGACTATGTTTTTTGATCGAGCAAGATTGATGTTTAATTAAATTTTTTTTGTTATAGCTCGATGAGGGAGGAGTATCTTTATCAATTAAAATAAAGGACGGATTATTATATTGTAAATGAAAAATATTCTCCAGCGTGAAATTTTCGGAATATTTCCTTTTTACTTAATTTGATCTTTGCACTGTTAAAACCAACTTATTTTTATAGTACTCAACATGCTTTCTATTTGAAAATGTATGGACACTTCTATAAACAGTGAAACATCTATCGAATATAGATATACATGGAATATTATGTTCACAATTTTAATTTAACATAAGTAACATAAGATTAATACGAAATATTTATTGAAGAGTTTTATATTGTTACGTAATATGTTGTTATTTTAAATTAAAAAAGAATACATAGAAACATAATTTTATAATCATAACTAAAGCATTAAAAAACCAGTTAAAAAGTTATCATATGCGAATTACTGTTTAAACTCTTAAAAATTGCATCCATACATACGTTTAATACGCACTCTAAATTAATGCACATATCATTTAGTATAAACAAATTTGCTCCGTTCATACTGAACACAAGATTGGCAGACCTGCTGATACTCATCCCCCGTGTACTATGTACAATATCCATAGACACATGAGCTACAAGCAACAGTAGAGTACGAAAACTATCAGGAATATGCAAGGTTGTTACAACGCAGTTTAACGATTCATTACAATAAATGTTGAACCTCCAACATTAATTATCTAAATCAGCACTGCCACATCTGTATTTTAATTTTAATATATTGAAAAATTATAATTTGTTTTAGCAATTGAAAATTAAGTCTTCCGACATCGAATTGCTTTCGAAATTTTTCCCAACAACATTTCCTTTTATTTTATTTTATTCTCGTTGCCAATGTGCACGAGAATGATTATGATATCTGTAATGTGGAGGTCTGTAATTTCTACCATGCCGCGGTCGTACATTATTGGAAGTATTATAGTAATGTCTCCGGTAATAACCACCGAGAGATCGGTTCCACGTTTTGCCATTTTGATATTCTTGGAAAGGATTATACCCTGAGTTATTTCTTTCTTCATACGTTCGATGATCTTTTACTTTCTTTACTCGACCACGGTCTATTTCTTCATCATCTGCATTGAAATGTCGCTTACGCTCTTCTCTTCTATCATTGTCAACTTCTCTATCTAAATGTGTTCTATTACCATTCCAATTTGTAACTGTAAACAAACAGGCATTTATAATATATTTATAATATAATTTTAATACGAAAGTGATATTATTTTATCGATAAATTTTTAAAATAAAATTATTTATACACAGTTTTTAATATTTTCGTCATTTAATAGTGTTACTTTAACACTTAACAATTTTTTTCAATAAATCACAAAATATATTTTTTTATTATTACTGATTTAACAGAAATGTCACAAAGCAAATATTTTCAATTTAACGATTAACAACATTTCGAAATGTTATCTTACATTTACAATTTATCGTTGAAAAGTTTATAAATTTAAAAATATCTTTTTTTTTGTTAAGATTATCGACATGATTTTTGATTTCAAAACACTTGAGCAAATAAGAATTTCTTGTATGTTTGTTCTATTGCTTTATGTAGGATTTTTTGATTTAGGACATATGGGCGCAGAATAGGTTGATGAGGATTTTGAAGGAAAACGAGCTGGTTTCAATGGATTCTTCAATAGAATTCTTTTGTTGTACTGACCCGAAGAATTGCCATAACCACGATGAGACATCTTTAATAAGTGGGAAACCGTATCAGAACGATTTGTTCCATTGAAATCTCTTAAAGCTGCAGCACTGGGTGTCATATTATTTTGACCAATTTTATGAATATCTTCCCTGTGAATAGTAAGAAATATAAATTAACATATTGTTGATCGATTACAAGTTAATTCGTTTTTTCATTCTCAACAATTTAAAGAAAACTGCAAACCAAAAAAATAATGTAATATTTACGCATTTATTACACACATTAAATTTTATGTAAATATTATTTTATATTTATATAAAATATTAAATTTCATTATATATTATTCGTTATATATATTGAATGTAACTTACTTATCCGTCACAGACCAGCCATTTGATGTTGCAGCTGACGTGGCAGAAAATGATGTATCCTTTGAAACTTGCCAACCTTTCATACTGCTGCTTGTAACTTTTGTAATTACTTTGTCCTCTTGTCCCGCTTTTCTAACAGGCTGATGCCATTTATTTTTACTATTATTATTACCATTTTCTGCCTTTCCGTTTGTTTCTGATTTACCATTTTGATATTTTATTGTACTTATAATGGTACTACAGCTAGAGCCATTTTGTGTTTTTATACATTGCGTTACATTACTTTGATTCTGAGACACACTACTGCCATTTGTCTTTGATGCACACTTTTGCACTTCTTTAGAATTAAGTATTACTTTAGGGAAAGTTTTTACTGAGGAACATTTCTGTGTGCCATTAGTAGTATTAGTGGAAGTGTTTGTTTTTGTAGAAGTATTTAAATTTGTGTGATTTTTTAATGTTTCAACAGAATTAACATCCTCTTCTTCACTGGATCCATCATAGGGAACTAAACTATTCCCATTCAAAATTTTTCCATTTTTAATATGCATAACTAATCTTGGTTGAGATTTGTCTTGTAATTTTTGTGGTAACTGTGGCCCAATAAAATTTGTAGTCTTTTGAATAGCAAATTGAAGTCCTGAATTTTTATTTGTCGGTATTTGTAAATTTATTTCTGAATTGCCAGTATTATCTTTATTATTTGATATGCCATTAGCTAATCCATTTAACGAAAATAATCCAGATGTTGATGCCTTGGGAGTTATAGTTTTATTCATAGTATTTCCTGAAGATAATGTATTGTTTACAGTCATTGTACCATTTAATTTAACAGTCTGTTGAGCATGAATTTGAGATTGTGTTTGTTGTTCCATTTCAAAAATCATTATGTAAGCATTTGTATTAAAAACATTATTCAAACTAAGTGGACGAACCTGTATATAAAAAATATTTTTAACATTAACAAAATAATTTGATATTTTATGAATAAAAAATCCTGTTAATACATACACAAGAGTCATCAAAGGAATAGTATTGGCCTGTTGAAACCTTCGCAACTGCAGTATAATGCCCGCAATTAACTGATGGACCCATATGTGTAACTATTGACATAAGTTTGTATGTAAGTGATTGTGTAGGTTCTCCTGGTTCTTTCCAGAGGTAAGGACCCATATCTATAGTTTGCTTGAAACCTATATGTTTAGATATTTTTCCTCCTAAAACGCTGAATCTTTTTAATTGTACACAAAGCACTTTCGGGGGTCGTTCTAAGCTAAATTGTTTTGTAGCAGGAACTCTTCTTTTGCAAGCTTCACATTTGTAATCATTGTTATCTAATTGCTCACGACTAAAATAGCTACTTAATGCTTCATCCAGAGTACTTGCTTTACGTATATCAACTAATAAGTCCTGCAGAAATTTAAATATATTTAAATTTTACTGATATTTAAATTTAATTGATTGTATATTTGATTAAAGGCATAATTATTAAAAAAAAAGACTATATTATATATACTTGAAAATGTTGAAAAGTAGTGGAAACATGCCGACACTGTAGGCACTTTACTTCAGTACGAATATAACCACCAAAAATTTGGTTAATAGGTGTTGTTTCCTTAGAGTAACTGTCTAGTTTGCTAGCTTTGTGTCTTGTTAAATAAGCTTTCTCCATGCCTTCTAATAAATAACGTAAAAATTCATGAGCATCTTCTTGCTGTCCTGGGGCCATGGTTCGACAAATGACTAATAAAAAATCAAAACATATATATAACAGATATTATAATTTAATAACAATTCAGTAATATTTTATACTTACATTTTAATTTGTTATATATGTAAAATGGTTTAATAGCACATCCTGATTTTTGGTGACTAGATTGCAAAGTCTTAGCCACTGCACACG